AGAAAAAGAAAAAGAAAAAAGATTCAGTTCAAGACATTGTAAGCTGTCAGTTTTGGAACGATTATAGGGGTTTTTCAGGCAAACTTCAAACAGTAAAACAATCATTTAACAAAATAACTAATGAATGAATAAACGTGCAAAATTATCAAACCATTGTTTTGGTCAGCAAATATCACAATACATATATTTATATTTCAAATGTATATATTTATGTTTAAAACGTGACAACCTGGCATCTAAAGTACCCTTGTCCTGAGAAAATTCAAGCTTTGTTCAAAATTTACAATCTTAATGGTGACATCTTAATATACGTCAGTGGCTTTACTGTGCTCACTTGTTATCTGATAGCTATTGCAAAAATATGATACTGGAATGTAAGTTTTCATTTTTTCAGACAAATATGTCAAACTCAAGAAGGTTTTGAACTAGGTCTTTTAAACCAAAATACTGTACATTGAAAACATGCATTTGCACGTAAAAACTCGTGTGATATTTATTACATTTGAGATGAAAGTGTGACAAGTAGCCCCGGTCCTATTACACCGCATCAGATTGAGATTGCGTGAGAATTTATGTTTTTTTTTTTTCTCACTCAGTTCTGGGAGGTGATCAGTGATGAACACGGTATTGACCCCACTGGCAGCTACCATGGAGACAGTGACCTGCAGCTGGATCGCATCAGTGTTTACTACAACGAAGCCTCTGGTAGGCACATCACATGGGTTTAGCACAGGGGACAGCAAATGTCTGATACCTGGATTGAGCAATTTAAGAAACTGTTATTATGATCATTAGTTAAGGGGAAAGTTCAGCCTCTCAAATATACTTACACATACAGAATCTCCAAACAAAGAACTACAACATACAAACAAACCCTAATGTTTGAGGTGCCTTCTTTGGTTGTCTATTTTCTCAGGGGGAAAGTATGTCCCTCGTGCCATCCTTGTGGATCTAGAGCCAGGAACCATGGACTCTGTCCGCTCTGGTCCTTTTGGGCAGATATTCAGACCTGACAACTTTGTTTTTGGTAAATAAACCGTCCGCTTGCATCTCATTGCATGCAAATACCTATATTTGACGAATGAGTATAGCTATGAAATGATTAAGTTCTGAAAGTTCCGAATGTTGAAAATATCTCTGATATGGGTCTTGTATTTTCATGCAGAAATTAAGTTCACACAAAACCCTCAGAGACCAAGGAGCTGATATGCATGATATATATAGACAGATAAATAGGACATGTATTATTTTAATTAGTACCTGTTCGCAGACTGTCCCTTGAATTAATCAACATAAGAACAAAAACATATTTACTTGCGTACATTCCTGTTGTGATTCCGGCAGAGGTTTTGAGCATTTCCTGTTTAAGGTGGCTTATTAGTGAGACCTGGTGTTTAAGGATTATACAGTATGGATTTCAAACACTTTGGCATAATGCCGTTTTAAAATATGCAGTATTTAGTTAGTAAGTTTGGGTCATGAAGTGTTACTGGTTTTTGTGTCCTGCTCGTAGGGCAGAGTGGAGCTGGAAATAACTGGGCTAAGGGTCACTACACAGAAGGTGCTGAACTGGTGGACTCGGTGATGGACGTGGTCCGCAAGGAAGCCGAGAGCTGTGACTGTCTGCAGGGCTTTCAGCTCACGCATTCGCTGGGAGGAGGAACAGGTTCCGGCATGGGAACGCTCCTCATTAGCAAGATTCGCGAGGAGTATCCCGACCGCATCATGAACACCTTCAGCGTGGTGCCATCTCCCAAAGTGTCGGACACAGTGGTGGAGCCCTACAACGCCACGTTGTCCGTTCATCAGCTGGTGGAGAACACGGATGAGACCTACTGCATTGACAATGAGGCCCTGTACGACATCTGCTTCCGCACTCTCAAACTCACCACGCCCACGTATGGTGACCTCAACCACCTCGTCTCGGCCACCATGAGCGGCGTCACTACCTGCCTGAGGTTCCCCGGACAGCTGAACGCCGATCTTCGCAAACTGGCGGTCAACATGGTGCCCTTCCCTCGTTTGCACTTCTTCATGCCTGGCTTCGCTCCTCTCACCAGCAGGGGGAGTCAGCAGTATCGCGCGCTCTCCGTCCCAGAGCTCACCCAGCAGATGTTTGACGCTAAGAACATGATGGCTGCATGCGACCCGCGCCACGGCCGCTACCTGACTGTGGCCGCCATTTTCCGTGGCCGCATGTCAATGAAGGAGGTGGACGAACAGATGCTGAATGTCCAGAACAAGAACAGCAGCTACTTCGTGGAGTGGATCCCCAACAACGTCAAGACCGCCGTGTGCGACATTCCACCTCGTGGTCTCAAAATGTCTGCGACATTCATCGGCAACAGCACTGCCATCCAGGAGCTGTTCAAACGCATTTCAGAGCAATTCACCGCCATGTTTCGCCGCAAGGCCTTCCTGCACTGGTACACCGGCGAGGGCATGGATGAGATGGAGTTCACCGAGGCTGAGAGCAACATGAACGACCTGGTGTCCGAGTACCAGCAGTACCAGGACGCCACCGCAGAGGAGGGAGAATTCGAGGAGGAGGGTGAAGAGGAGGCCACCTGATCACCATCTCTTCCACCTTAACTTCCTCCATTTTTTGATTCATATGCCACATCATCTCAGTCTCCTCTCAGTCCAGTGCTGTTCATTCAAAGTCCATTCAAACGCTTGTGTGATTCTCATTTTAGCTTGTTTCTCATTTTGTTAAAATCACCATGGATTCACTAAATAAAGACATGACAAACCTAAAAAAAAGACATGACCAACCTTCATTCTGTGTGACTTTAAGAACAAATTTTTTTCTTGAAAAAAATGTAACTGAACGTCAGTATTATTTTATTAGTAGTGTTGTAGTAGTAAATTAGTTCTGCTGCACAATACACACTGTCCTGTGTCAGTTATGATTACAAAAACATTTAAAAGCGATCTAACAGCACTTGCCAAAACATTTGAAATGGTCAATCAAATTTAAAAAGGCAGGATTTACAGTTCACAGAAGAATTGTAACACAATGCTTCAGTTTGACTTTTTAACAGGTCAAAGAGTGCCAGGTTAGAAGTAGCTAAACATGTAGCTAATATTTAACAACCGTTTTACGACAGAAATTTATTAGTGAGACCTGGTGTTTAAGGATTATACAGTATGGATTTCAAACACTTTGGCATAATGCCGTTTTAAAATATGCAGTATTTAGTTAGTAAGTTTGGGTCATGAAGTGTTACTGGTTTTTGTGTCCTGCTCGTAGGGCAGAGTGGAGCTGGAAATAACTGGGCTAAGGGTCACTACACAGAAGGTGCTGAACTGGTGGACTCGGTGATGGACGTGGTCCGCAAGGAAGCCGAGAGCTGTGACTGTCTGCAGGGCTTTCAGCTCACGCATTCGCTGGGAGGAGGAACAGGTTCCGGCATGGGAACGCTCCTCATTAGCAAGATTCGCGAGGAGTATCCCGACCGCATCATGAACACCTTCAGCGTGGTGCCATCTCCCAAAGTGTCGGACACAGTGGTGGAGCCCTACAACGCCACGTTGTCCGTTCATCAGCTGGTGGAGAACACGGATGAGACCTACTGCATTGACAATGAGGCCCTGTACGACATCTGCTTCCGCACTCTCAAACTCACCACGCCCACGTATGGTGACCTCAACCACCTCGTCTCGGCCACCATGAGCGGCGTCACTACCTGCCTGAGGTTCCCCGGACAGCTGAACGCCGATCTTCGCAAACTGGCGGTCAACATGGTGCCCTTCCCTCGTTTGCACTTCTTCATGCCTGGCTTCGCTCCTCTCACCAGCAGGGGGAGTCAGCAGTATCGCGCGCTCTCCGTCCCAGAGCTCACCCAGCAGATGTTTGACGCTAAGAACATGATGGCTGCATGCGACCCGCGCCACGGCCGCTACCTGACTGTGGCCGCCATTTTCCGTGGCCGCATGTCAATGAAGGAGGTGGACGAACAGATGCTGAATGTCCAGAACAAGAACAGCAGCTACTTCGTGGAGTGGATCCCCAACAACGTCAAGACCGCCGTGTGCGACATTCCACCTCGTGGTCTCAAAATGTCTGCGACATTCATCGGCAACAGCACTGCCATCCAGGAGCTGTTCAAACGCATTTCAGAGCAATTCACCGCCATGTTTCGCCGCAAGGCCTTCCTGCACTGGTACACCGGCGAGGGCATGGATGAGATGGAGTTCACCGAGGCTGAGAGCAACATGAACGACCTGGTGTCCGAGTACCAGCAGTACCAGGACGCCACCGCAGAGGAGGGAGAATTCGAGGAGGAGGGTGAAGAGGAGGCCACCTGATCACCATCTCTTCCACCTTAACTTCCTCCATTTTTTGATTCATATGCCACATCATCTCAGTCTCCTCTCAGTCCAGTGCTGTTCATTCAAAGTCCATTCAAACGCTTGTGTGATTCTCATTTTAGCTTGTTTCTCATTTTGTTAAAATCACCATGGATTCACTAAATAAAGACATGACAAACCTAAAAAAAAGACATGACCAACCTTCATTCTGTGTGACTTTAAGAACAAATTTTTTCTTGAAAAAAATGTAACTGAACGTCAGTATTATTTTATTAGTAGTGTTGTAGTAGTAAATTAGTTCTGCTGCACAATACACACTGTCCTGTGTCAGTTATGATTACAAAAACATTTAAAAGCGATCTAACAGCACTTGCCAAAACATTTGAAATGGTCAATCAAATTTAAAAAGGCAGGATTTACAGTTCACAGAAGAATTGTAACACAATGCTTCAGTTTGACTTTTTAACAGGTCAAAGAGTGCCAGGTTAGAAGTAGCTAAACATGTAGCTAATATTTAACAACCGTTTTACGACAGAAATTTTAAACAAGCGACAGTAATAAGCAAAGCATGTAATATTTAACAACCGTTTTACGACAGAAATGATAAACAAGCGACAGTAATAAGCAGAGATGTAAAGTATTCAAACTTTTTGTCAAGTTTAGATGTTGTGAATTGAAAATGGCCTATATGGTTTGCGTAATGTAATTTGTAACTTGAATGATGAGACAAGAAACAGGATCCGTTTTCTTGTTTCCAATTCCATAAAATAAATAGACTATGGCAGATTATTGTCAAATAAGAAATAGAGTCACAATTAGTTTAAACTTAGTCACAACTGAAATAATATATATAAAGTTTATATAAGAGATATAAAGTCCCAATAACAAAGACAAAATTTTCTCAAAACGGGTCAAAAACGGGCTTCCACATCAAGTTGAGAAATTAAATTGGGAACCTTCTCTGAATATCATCTATCATCTAGGCCTAGCCATTAAATAACACTGTACTCACATTCAGAAAACCGGACATTTTCTACAACTAAAATGCTGCTCCTCAAGTGAACACCAGAGGGAAACATTTTGCACAAAACAGGTACCAAGAACTGGATGTGCATTCAATGCAATGACAATATTAGTAGTCAAAGGAGCTGTCAGAAGTGTGCGTTTGTGTGAAATCTTAAGTTGTGTGCTAGTCAGTGGAATTGGCTGTTTGATGTGAGGATGTGTGTGTGCAGGAGTATGTATGTCGATGCATGTTAATAAAGAATCTAATGACTTTAGTCTGCTGACACCCTGAACGCCACCGAATGGGCCCTAACATACAAGTGCATCATGGGCTCCAGGATAAAGTAAGAATCTCTCCGTTTGTCTGTCGATTTTTCTCTGTTTGCTCACTTTGTGGTCTGCTGGTCTACTTCCTCTTCCTCGCTCTGTCGTTCTCGGATGCGAGTCTTTCTATCATGTCACAATTCAATTAATAAACTCAGACACAAAAACAGCAACATTTGGAGAGTTTTGAGTTGACATCTGCAGGAGAACAGATGGAGAGCTTGCACACTTTTACTCGCAGAAGCATCACTTCTTTGAAAATACATAGTGTCCTCAAATCTGCTTCACTTCTGACTGTCGTTGAATTGGAAAAATATCAGATCAAGTATCTCTATGTGCACTTTTCTTCATCGGTTCTTAAGTCTCAATGTGTTTGAATCAGCTGGTGTTTTGGTGATTTTTAGTGGATGTATGAAGTCGGTTCTCCTCAAGTTCACACAGGTGTGGAGAATCACATTAACTATCAACATGTAACCACAAACAGACATCTTCAACACAACATCTATTGGTTTCTCATCCCTTGGGAAGGAAAAATAATGAATAAGATCTCTTATAACTCTAAATGGAGTCAGATTTTTCTCCTGAGAAACAACGTCTCAAACTGTGCACCAATCTGCCAAATCCTGTGATTAAAGATCTCAATATGAACATTTATCATTACATTCTTGATAGTTTGTCATTTAAAAATCTAATTTGATTGGTTTTAGCAGACAAACATGCTGTTAGGATCATTACATTTGCATAATTGTATTTTAGACAGACGGCCAAACTCATGACTGGAAATATTTCTGTTGATGCACGTCTTCCAGTTTAGTAGTCAACCACATCCTGCTCATGAAGCTTCTTATTAAGATCTTGTGAGAAGAACAGCAGAAAATGATTCAGAGCTAATCACATTCAGTTGCTGTTCATTCTGACAGTGTTTATTTTCCACATCAGTCATGTGTAATGTTTTTCTGGTGTGATTTGTTGGTTTTGTTATGATGACTGTTTTGCTCATGGTTTTGTTGTTCTCAGAGAAAACCCTGAAAAAACGTTCTACTGGTTCTTTCAAGCCTCATGTCCAATCGCCAGAGATAAAGGTGGGTTCCACACACACACAGATTGTAGGTCGGATGAAACCTACTAACTGTCCATTGGATATTTTTCCATCAAAGCTCTTTAAGATGGTATTCTACATTATTGGCCCTAGTATTTTGTCTATTATTAATGGTAGCCTTGTTTCTGGGGTGGTGCCATCATCGTTGAAACATGTTGTTGTGCAGCCTCTTTTAAAAAGCCAAATCTGGATATAACTGTGTTGTCAAATTTTAGACCCATTTCAGAACTCCCTTTTTTTAGAGAAGATTGTTCTAACTCAATTGCAGAGCTTTTTGGATCAGAATGCTGTTTATGAGGTTTATCAATCATGTTTTAAGGCCTACCATAGTACCGAATCTGCACTGTTAAAGGTACTAAATGATATACTCAGGACACTCTGTGGTTCTTATGCTGCTAGACCTTAGTGCAGCATTCGACACAATAGACCATGGGATTCTTATCTCCCGTCTTGAGGAGGTGGTTGGCATTCAGGGCTCTGCTCTCGATTGATTCAGATCATTCCTATAAAATAGGAGTTTTTCTGTCAACATTGGTCAGACTTTTTCATCCTCTGTACCACTGACATGCGGGGTCCCTCAAGGGTCTATTCTCGGCCCTATTTTATTCTCATTATATATTTTACCTTTAGGGTCAATCTTTCGTAAACATGGAATTGCTTTCCATTTTTATGCTGATGACACACAAATTTATATGCCCTTTAAGAACAATGATGGAAATGCCCTTGATTCTCTTATGAAATGTTCCATGGAGGTTAAGACCTAGTTGTTGTCAATTTTTATTTTATTTTAATGAGAGTAAAACAGAGCTTGTCTGGTTTGGGGATCCTGCACTTCCTGAACTGTTAAATTTAGGTGAGCTGACCACTTATTGTTTTTGACCTGTTGTCAAAAACTTAGGGGTTTTGTTTGATAATGATCTGAAATTTGATAAACAGATTAAGTTGTTAAATCGAGTTTCTTTCACTTACGACTGTTAGCAAAGGTTAAGTCATTTCTCTCTTTTAGTGATCTTGAGAAGGTGATACATGCGTTTATCATGGTGATACTTGATTATTGTAATTCTTTGTATGTGGGTGTCTGCCAATCTGCTTTAAATAGACTACAATTCATTCAGAATGCGGCTGCGAGGCTCTTGACAGGAACTCGTAAGCAGGAGCATATATCTCCTATTCTGTCTTCACTGGGCTGGTTGCCAGTCAAGTTTAGGATTGATTTTAAATGATTGTTTTTTGTTTATAAGTCTCTAAATGGGTTGGCACCATCTTATTTGTCGGATCTTTTACAGGTGTACAAGCCCTTTAGGTCTTTAAGATCTTCTGGTCAATCTGTTTTAATTGTACTGAAGACTAGGTATAAGCGAAGGCGCGATCGGGCCTTTGCAGTTGCCGCTCCAAAGCGTTGGAATAGGCTTCCGGCTCATATTAGACATGCTCCAACTCTAAATGTTTTTAAGTATCGCCTAAGGTCTCACCTTCTTTCCTTAGCGTTTGAGCCAGCAGAGTGTTGAGGTATTGTTTTAGTTATGTTTTAGCTGTCCTGTTTGTGTGTTATGGTGTGTAAATGTGTTTTTAAACTGTGTTGATTTTGTACAGCACTTTGGTCAATGCTTTGTTGTATTAAAATGTGCTATATAAACTAAATAACTAACTAACTAACTAACTAACTAACTGATGCAATAAACACACTCACAAACGGTCTCTTCTGAGAATGGCTCTTCCTGTCACATGACTGAACCAGAAAAACCACACAGCAGGGCAGATACATGCTCATCAGAATGAGAAAAGTCTGAGGAACTAGTTAGTATGCAGTGATCTGCTAACGGGTGAAAGGAAGCACACTGATTGTCTAAAAGGAGATGGGACTGCCAGGGTTGGACCAGGTCTATGAGGCCTGGCTGTATAGAACCAGGCTGAGCCAGACTGGTTACCCTGCGTGGCTAACTTTGACCTGACTTTAAACACATCCTCTAGTTGAGTTGTCAGTTGACTGAAGCGTGTGTGTTTTTCTATTCGAGTAGATCCCGATGTGCTGTTTCAGTTCCCTGAAGACTTTAATGATGAGGTTAGTACTTGAGGATCACTGTGGTTCTTTCCTTCTGTTTTTATTTATTTATTTATTTATTTGTAATTACTTTTATTAAAATATATATATATATCAAAATGAATGAAAACACTGCATAAATAAATGATTGCATGAATAAATAGATGCACAAATAAATAAAGCCTCTGCTTACCATGATGTTTTGCATAATGTTTGCAAGTTTTAAGAATTAGGGAAAATTATAATAAATAAAATCCACTGCACAAATAAATAACCATGAATAAATGCATAAAAAATAAATCAAGCCTCTGTTAAACAATGCAATAGCTAATTTTGACGAATTAGGGAAAATTCTAAATAGGGTACAATGGGGCTAAAGGCCCACCTTAAGAAAAAAAATGTGCCTTCACTGTGCCTAAAATGTATAATTGCAGAAAAAAATATATACGTTGCATTGAACATTAATGGAGCAACTGATTTTGTGCATGTGAACATAAATCATTCAAGTTGTTTATTTTGTTTAAAAATCTTATAAATGTATGAGGTGGCAAGAGGGGCCTTTTACCCCAGACACGGGGTAAAAGGCACACGTTATTGATAAATACTTCAGCTAAAATAATGTTTTGTTTTTAAATAATGTCTAAGTTACTACTTGTTCAAAACAATCACTTTAGCAAAGTTTGTACTATTTTCTGCTTATTTTGAAAAATAAAATAATATTTTTTTTTCAATAGATATACTGTCATTAAAATATGTTAATATAAAAATATATATTTTAAAATACAGAAACAAAATCGTTTTAATATGTAAAGATTCTGAAAGTATTGAAGGAGATCCAATAATAATTGAATATATATTTACAGTAGTAACAACAAATTATATTTTATTATATGATATTAATATCATGTTTTTTTAAATATGATGGTTTCATTCTAAACATGGTGATTTTCTCTAATATGGACACCCAACATAATATATGATATTTACCATCTGAACCTAACCATGTCATGTCAACAAATGGAGAAGTCAGCCATCTATTCATTATCATGTTAATTACTGTGTGCCTTTAGCCCCAACAGCAGGGGTGCGTTTTACCCCAAATACCATACTTTTACATATTATTTCGTTATTTAAAAACTGTTGCTTTAATTATCTTAAGCAAAACTGAAAATCATAAAGAAGACCTGTCTCAAAACATATGCATTAATTTTAGCGATTCTCATTTGCTACTTAAATCTACAACATTTTAAAAAACATAAAATATTAGATCAAGTAAGCACAGAATCAACTTTGCACTGCTGCATGCGATCGCGTCAAGACAAATATACACGTGCATCTTGAAAAGCGGATGTTTTGGAAAGTGCCACGCCACGTTTTTGTGCCATCTAGTGGTTTAGATGAAAATAATATCAAAGGCGCCTTTTACCCCAGGGTGACTTTAGCCCCGTTGTACCCTAATACATTCATAAATAAGATTCCTAGTCTCACATCCTGGTATAAAACACCCACTTTTCATCATCCAATTCAGTCTTGATGGATTCTGAAATATGTCACTGTATGCAAGTAAAATGAGATTTAAATTCAAAGGAATATTTGAACAGATATTGAATTTAAAACTATTTATCAGTGGGTGCACTCTTAAAAATAAAGGTTCTTTATTGGCATCAATGGTTCCATGAAGAACCTTTAACATCCATGAAATCTTATCATTCTTTATAGTGAAAATAAAGGTTCTTTAGATTTTTAGAGTGTTGTTCAAGCTAAGAATTTTTTTTTTCTTTTAAGAACTGTTCACTGAAAGGTTCTTTGGGAAACCAAAAATTGTTATTTTATTGCATTGCTGTGAAAACCTTGTTTTGGAACCTTTATTTGATTGTGTTTCTTCTATTCTCACACAGGAGGCTCTGCAGTCCTTGCCTCGCTTCTGCTTCCCTTACGACATAGAGAGGTGAAAATCCTTCATTCATTATTAAAGATGGATGCTCAAGCCTTCTTACCTTTTATGACTGATAAACTGAGGCTGGTCGGTTGGTTGACAGGGTGAAGGACACTGTTGCCGTGCAGCACTTCACATTCGTCTTGACCGATCTGGAAGGATGCCAGCGCTTCGGTTTCTGCAGACTCACGTCCAGCTCTCAGACCTGCTTGTGCATCCTCAGGTCTCAAACGCACAAAATACACTCAAAAACAAATGTCTAATTTGTGAAGCCCCTTTGATTGATTAACAGTTTGCTTCTCATGACCATAATCACTTTCATTTTTAGTTTTCAGGTCATAAGGTGTAAGTTATAACCTGATTTTACATATTAATAGTTAGTTCTAACTACACACAAGACAAAACCTTTAGCACAGTTGTTTGACCTGACTAAAGTGTGATTTCTCACTCAACACAGTTATTTGCCCTGGTTTGAGGTCTTCTACAAACTTCTGAATAATCTGGCTGACTACTCAACGAAAGGACGGGTATGATTTTAACGGTCTCCTGATGATTTTCCACATTTATAAAGCCCTTTATCTAACACCATTTTATTAATTCGAATGCCCGGCCAGACCAACGAGATGAAAGAGCTGCTGTCGGTTCTCTACAAGCACCCCGTGCCTCTGGCCAATGGCTCCATCACAGTGCAGATGGTAAGTGCTCATTGGCTGGTGGAGATTCCGTTTATGACATCACATGTGACATCACAATCAGGTTGGTGTGTTCTTCACTGAGGGAGGAAAGCTAATGATTGGAAGTGAGATGCCTGGCATCTGTGGACACGCAGGAGTCAGAGGGAGTGAGTCCCTGATCCGTATTAAAACCGGCCGACCAGAATAAACCTTCACTCCAGCGTCTAATAAATCCTAATACAATCCATAATGTGAAATCAAACTAATCCAGCATCCACAACTAACCCTGGATCCCTAACAACGCTTAACTAAAAAACTAATGGGTCCTTGAAAAATCGCAAAGCATTCATCTAAAAACTTTTAGGCAGACTAACTTGAAGGCCTTACTTTCATGGTACTGACTGTTTATTTTTGTGGAATAATGTTTCTCTCCATCAGATCCCGTACTTTATCGCACCAGATCCCAAAGCTCTGCCCTCTATTCCAGAGAGTGTGAGTTCTTCCATTTTTTTTCCATTTAGGTTTTTTAATGTGTGGGTTTTAATTTATTTCTGTTTTATCCCTTGGTTCTTATACACTAGTGGTCCAAAAAAAATAAAAATAAATAATAATATAAAATAAATAAAGATTTTTAAATTTGCTGCATTTATATAATGAAAAATATATATTTAAATATATATTTTAAGGCATAATTTATTCCTGAATTTTCAGCATAATTACTCCAGTCTTTAGTGTCACATGATCCTTTAGAAATTATTCTAATATCACGGTTTCCACAAAAATATACTGTTTTCAACATTGATAATAATCAGAAATGTTTATTGAGCAGCAAATCAGCATATTAGAATGATTTCACTGAATGATTGATTAGAATGATGAAAATATATTCACATTTTCAGCTGTCATAATATTTCACAATATTTTTATTGAATTTTTTTATTATTTATTTATTTATTTTTATCAAATAAACGCAGCCTTGGTGAGCGGAGGAGAGTTTTTTTTTTTTTTCAAACATTTGAGCAGTATGTATGTCTGTCTGTGTATCAGAGGAACCTGACGGAGCTGGTGGTGGCGGTGGACGTGGGTAACCTGTTGCAGCTCTTCGCCAGCATGTTGTTCGAGAGGCGGATCCTCATTTACTGCAGCAAACTCAGCACTGTGAGTTAAATCTGCGACAGCCTTTGTGAATCAAAGCTGATAACACTTAGTTCACGAGGCTACTACAACAGTGGCATGGCGCTAGCAACACCAAAGTCATGGGTTCGATTCCCAAGGGAATGCATGTACTGAAATGCATACCTTGAATATAGTATAGTTCACTTTGGATAAAAACGCATCATTCCAGTCTCTGAAAAGTGTCCATTTAAAAACAACTATTTCAAGTGCTTTATGCTACAACCAGCACATTACACGTCATTACCTTGATGACCATTTGGGAATTGCATACGAACTGTCTGTGAATGCACACAGTGAATGGTGCAGCGTTTCACACCAACCAAACAAACTGAAAATTGTCAAATGGATTTGGTTCCTCATCAGAAACCCTACTGTGAAAACGTCTTAACACCTAACCAGGAGTGACATAATAAATCTATACGCGACAAATCACAGTTTTTGTCCCAACCAGCTGCAGCACATCGTTCGGTTTCTTATTCAAGAATCAGAATAAGAGAATAAGGAATAAGGACAGAATAAGGGCAGATCACTAGTTACTAAAATGTATTGTGTTGCATTGAGTCAGAATGCAGCTCCATTAAGCATGCACCAAACAGCAATTAATAGTTTTGTTTGTGTGTTTAGCTCACGGCCTGCATACACGCGTGTAACGGGATGCTGCACCCCATGTACTGGCAGCACATCTTCATTCCAGTGCTGCCGCCTCATCTGCTGGACTACTGCTGGTGAGACACACACAGACAGAGACACAGACACAGAGACAGAGACAGAGACAGAGACAGAGACAGAGACAGAGACACACAGACACATACAGCAGCAAATCAAAATTAATTGATATAGCACATTTACAAGAGCAGAAGTGCTGCACATTTTTGAAAAACAAATAAGTTGTAGCAATGGTATCAGTACCAGGGGCCTCAGAAAACTTCCAAAAACATGAATTAAAGTAATTTCAATAATTCATAATATTATTAATACATTAAAAACTAACTTAAAGTGATAGACACACATGACATCAAGAAGTTAAATTCTGAAATTCTGTTTCACTCTTTATTTATTTATTCATTCATTCATTCGTTTCTTTTAATAAATGATTATTTATTATGCTTAACAAAGGGGGCCTTTAAATTAAAAGGGTTCAAAACCAGTGGTCATTTATTTAAATAAATAAGAATAAAAACAATAATACAAAAAAAGACAAGCAGCAACCTGTGTGAACCAGTACTGATAAAATTTGGTTGAGCAGAATGGAACCGAGTTGAATTTAGTTTACTAAAACTTTTTGGTTTGGCCACTAATAAAAAATTATTAATGATATTACTGTTAATGCATTAAAGCATTTTAAATTAAAGTGCTAAATTAAAAGTCATATTGCTTGTTTTATTGTTTGTTTTTTATTCTTTTTTATTCATTAATAATAATTAGTATTTATTGTGTTGAACAATATGGTAAAAAAACACTGATCTAGAACAACATCTTAGATACATAATATGTACATATATGATAATAAATAATATATATTGTACATAAAAAT